CTAATATTTGATTTTAAAAAATTTACAACAATAATTTAAAAATTATTATTTAATAATAATTTTCTCATTCATATTTCAGAGGTTACGTGGAATGCATCATAACCCTCATTTATTGTATTTTTAAATTCAATTCAATCAATTATTATCTAACAACAATCGTAAATTTCGAAGATATTTAAATCTTTTGATTTTTTTTTTTTTATATTTATTCGTTTTTATGTACTACGTATATACAGGGTGAGCCTGCGTAACGTGACATAATCTCTCGGCGACAGAAAGATTGGAAAATTTTGTTAAAAAAAAATCATTCCTGGGCCCCCTGCCATTGACAGCAATTTGTCCCCCCCGGACGGCCAATAAATATTTAACCTCCAAAATTCCAGTTGAAATTTTTTTGAATTTAGCTTTCCATTGCATATTAACATTTTTAAAATGTTTAATAATAATTATTATGGAACTTAAAGCCATATAAGTCGATATAACATTTTTCGAAATTAAAAATTTTCAGCAGAGATTTTGGCGGTTAAATATTCATTTGCACCCCCCAGGAAAGATTTTTTTCATAAAATTGTCCCAACTTTCTGATTTCTGAAATTACACCAGATTCACTCTGTATACAATTTTTAATATATTTTTATTCAATTTTTGTAAGGATATTAATTCTTTAAATTATTATTAAATTGCTTATTACTGCTTTGTATGAATGTAAATGTTCATATTATAAAATAATATTTTTTAAGCATTTCTGAATATTTTGTTATACATATTCTATGATATGAGAAGAAATTATTAAATGTAGTAGATTTTCCAATTCTTTTATTCCAATTTTTTTTATTTTACACAATTTTTCAATTATCCTTTTATTTTTTTTTTTTCTCGTTTAACTACATCTCACAATTTTTGCTTGTTTTCAATATTTTATTTATCTGTGGTTAACATCAAAGCAGTTTTCTTTTAACATTTTATTTATTTTTAAAATTATAAAGTTTTTTATATAGAAAATTTTAAATGCAAGTTCTCTCTTTTTTTTCTTTTTTAAAATTTTTTAATATTATTCTTATATTTCTTATTCATATATAGAACTTACACTTTAAATATTATACACTATTATCCTTATATATTAATCTTTATGTACATATAATATTATTTTCACATACATAATAAATGCAAAATAAAAAAAAAAGAAAATGGTTATGAAATTTTCACTTTTTAATGCTACTCTCTTCAATCATATAAAAAAAATAAATATTATTTTAATTAATAAAAAAGACAAAAAAGAAAAAAAAACAAAATATAATTTTTTGTTTTGTTATTTTAATATTAAAAATCAATAATTATATTATATATATAAGTACATATATATATATATATAATATATATATGTTTATATATATATGTATATACACTTACATATGATTTATATAAAAAAAACATTAAAAATATCCTTCAAGAAAACTGCATGCTGTGCGTGAGTATGTATCCTTGCAACTAATTAAATATAATCCATTTTTTTTTTTTATTTATAATTTGTTGTTTTCATTTTTCTTGTTTTTCCTCAAAATATTTTTAATTGAAAAGAAATGGAAATTTAAAGAACGGGATTTATTTTATTTCTCTAATTTCCCTTTTTTTTTGTTTTTCATTTTTAAAAATTTTATAATATTTTCACCCCTCTTAATTTTTTTTCTCACCTTTTCTGTTAACTTCTTAACCCTATATTTCTTTGTCGTCAATAAAACATCTGTTTTTCCCTTGAATATTTTAATAAATTCTTTGCCGTGGATGTAATTTTTTTTATCTCTAAATTATCACTATTAAGAAATATTGTTGAATAACTTGTCGAACAATATTCTCGCATACAAACATTCTTTGCTAAGATAATTTGCATCGAAAAATAAGTAGCAGTCTCACACTAATTACATATACATAATTCTTTTTTACCCTAAATGGGAAAAAAATTTAGGAAATATCGCAAGAATTATTCAATCAACAAGAATTTTTTTTGCCGAACAATGTATGTATTTCGGTTTTAAAATTTATGTAAAATTCAGCTTAGTACTAATTATAATATTGTTGAGTAATTGGCAAGTGTTGAGTAATCTTATGTTCGAGTGTTGATCGATCTTATATCAATGAATAGTTCAAGCATATTATAATACCCAAGAAATTTTGTTGAAGAAAAAAATAAAAACAATTTCCAAAAAAAAAAGATTTAATTAATTTTAGAGAATTTTGAATTTCAAATATTGACGGGAATTCTTAGTTACCTTTTAGATTTTGCATTGAAAATAAGAATCCGTCTGTACGTCACTTATATAATTCAACAATTCTTTTATTTAGAAATCACCTTTAAAGAAAGTCGATCCTATTCTATTTTTACATAAAAAAGGTAAAAAACAAGTAGAAAAACCCATCAGTTTTTGGCAGATTTTAGGGCCTTGAATCACACTATATACTCTTCCATCCATACAAATTCTGACTTAAATTTATGTCAGCCTAAAATGCTAAAAATAAAATGACTCTTAAAAATTTCTGTTATCTTCAATTTTTTTTTCTTTTTTTTCCAAATTTTCCAATCTTTTCATTTAGACGATAACTAGAAAAGTTTTTAACAGGACGGACCTAGAATGTTCTTGTCTTCGCAAATTTCCTGCATTTGCATCTTATTTCTGATTCAATTTATTTCACAATAACTTTAGATTCCATTCAAAATTCTCTCAATCAATCTTCCGACAACAAGTTCATCTCAAATCCCCCTACCTTTTTTCAAAATTTCTTTTTATTTAATTTTCTCTTTTAAATTTATGAGTGACCGAATAATTTATTTTTTTTTTGTATATTTATTTTGTGAATTTTTCCAGTGGAAAATTTTATATATATGAAATGAAAATAATTATTAAATATTATTAAATATGAAAAAAAAAATTAGTTTTTTTGTAACTTTCCGCCTGTGTAGTAAAAAAATTTAGTTTTCAATTTTCACACATAATATTTTTCTTTTACTCATTTTTCCTTCATTTATTTAAAAAAAACATAATTAAAATCAAAACTTTTAATTTGAATAGCAAAAAAAAAAATATTAAAAATAAATTTTAAAAAAATATTAAAATTTAAATAAAAAATTTTTTTTTTTTCTTTCAAAATGTTTGAAAATGCAATCTGTAATTTTTTTTATTTAATTTAAAATTTTAATTTAATTTTTAATTTGTTCTTTTTTTTTTCATTTTGTTTGGAAAATGAAATTGAATTTTTTGTTTTCATTCCTAAAAATTTTGTGATAAGTTTTTTAACTTCACAATTTCAAAATAACAAAAAAAAAAAAAAAATTTAAAATTTTTAAAAAGAGCACCTGTTTTTAAAATTTTTTTAAAAATAATTAAAAAATAATTTTATTTTTATTAAATTTCAATAAATTTAAAAAAAAAATAAGAAAACACTCATTCATTCATTGAATGTAATTTGATGTTCACTATGCTTAATTTGTTAAGTAACAATAAAAAATAAGTGAATGAGTTCTTTTTGGAAACGATTGTATAATTTTTAATTAAAAAATATATTTTTTATTTAATTATTATTTGTATTTATTATTTAAATTTTATTATTAATTTTAATTTTGCGTTAATTTTATTTAATTTATGAGAATTTTTTTTTTTTCAGTGAAATTTTCTGTCACCAAAAATTGGAAATTGTTGAATGAAATTAAATAAATCTCTGTTCAGCACTTGAATTTAGCGGTCTTTGAATTCTGTCCACTTAAATGGAATGCAATATCGAGTAATCTTATAATATTATGCAATGGTTCTGTCTACACTGAACGCTTACTAAAAAACTTTACTGAAAAGTTTATCGCAACAAAAGTAAAAATATTACCAGATGAGAAATAATTTATTTCTAATTATGCTACAAATATTTCTCAATTCCTCGAAAAGTATTTCGGATTTGGCTACAAAATACATACAAAATTATTTTAGCCCATTCAGAAATTTTTTTTATTCTAACTAGATAATTTATTTTCGTAAACGCCTCAAACGTACAACTAATTTGAAAACTTTATATTGCTAAAATTGCTTTAAATTATATTCAAAATAATATGAAAGGGTTGAAAAGTACAATTATGTGAAAATTAGCTAAAAAGTGTGGTTGTCTCGACTTTGGATATAGATTGTATCTGTTCACTTTAAAAAAAAATTTCTAATTTAGACAAAATTTTTCTTAGTGCAGGACATTTCTTATTATTATTCATCATTTTAAAACACGTAGAACCATATACACATAAATAAATTATTTTTCATATTGTATTTTATATTTAAGATGAATTTATAATAAGTGCTGGAATATTTTTAAATAATTTTACTTATAGTTTCTAATTTAACAACAACTTAACATTCCGTAATGAAAATGATAACTGAAAAATTTTAATAATTCCGTTGCATTAACACAAATAATTCACGAGTACTTCTAAAAGTCATCTCATAGGCCTCGAATTGTGCACAGAAAAAGCCATGCTAGTTGATTTCATAAAATTTCGGGAACAGTTCAATTAAAATATGATTTTTAATTGGCTATTTAAGAAGTATTTTCTTAAGAATTTATCGGAACATGAAAACTATGTACATAAAAGTAATACCATATGACTTTAAAATTCTTGAACTCTAATACTTTCGGTTTTTCGAAGAGAATTTAAAAACAAGTCTTATGATTAAATTTTCAAATTAAGGAGAAAGAAAATTTTACTTCCATTATTTTGTTTTGTATCATTTACTCGATTTTCTTCATTTTCATTCTACGATTCTAACTATAAATTATTGAATCCTTTATATAACAAAAATTATTTTTTTTAAAAACAAATACTAATGTAATTTTTTTATTTCTTTTTCTTCCCTTCAAATATGAAAAAAACAAAAATGGTTTTTTTTTTTTTTTTGAAAACTTATGAATGTAAATTGCTGCCATACCATCATACCTTTTGTAAAACAAATTGACCACATCATTAATATCAGGAAATCGTCGAACAGCAAGCGTTCGCTCAGTTGGTTACAGTGATTTATTTGTTTTGAGTAAAAAGGATATGTGGGATGTTCTCAAAGAATATCCAACAGCAAGAGTACGTTTAGAATCAATTGCTGTTAAACGTTTAGAAAAATATAAAAAAGCACCATTAGAAAAAAGTAAGTAAAAAAATTTTTTTCCTTCATTCTTGTTTTGTTTCTTTTTTTTTTATTTTAAATTTGTTTTTTTTTTTCATTTACATTCTAACCTCGTAATCAGATTTTAAAAGTAGAATTTAATTTTTGCAATTTTCTCTTATATTTTTAATTATTTTATTATTTTTTTTTATTTTGCAAAGTTTACATAAACTCTGTTAAAATGTAGATATTTTTTAATAGAATCGTAATTAATATCAAGTGAATAGGGCATTAGAAAAAGATATTAGAAAAAGATGATGCAAGCAATAGGGAAATGTAAACTCCAATACAAAAAATTTTATTCAAAATTTTCAATCATAAAAATATACGATTAATTAACGCATAAATTAAAAAACTGCAGGGGTCTTACTATGTAATTTGATTTTTGTGAAAAGACTTTTGTGTATTCGGAAAAATGATAGGGTAATACTAATTAATTTGTATGGTACTACCTTTCCAATTCTGAAAATACAAAAATCGTTTCACATAGTACTATTCGAATTACTTAGTAAGGCCCCCATTTTAATTAAGCAGCGAACTTTATATTAATGAATATAAAGTTCTATTAAACATTACAATTTACATGTACAGTTTAACAGTTACAGTTGCTTTTACCTGCGAATATTTATTTTGATTTCGTCTTTATTAAATTCACACTTAAATTACTAGAAATATATGCAGATAAAATATTTATATTTTTGGTAAGGTCCTAATTTTTAATCGTCTTGTCTTAAATGTGAAAAATTTCGAAGGTCTGACCTTTTATTCAGATTGTATTCTCTGCATTTCTATATTAAATGTTTTAAAATAACAAATGCATTATTTAGTCCCTCTAACCGCTCAAATTCTCATCTAATCTATGGATCAAGCACAATAACCGGTTTAATAGATCATATTTTACATTCACACTGAATTTTTCATGGAAATAAGCTTGAAATCATATTTTCTGAGCACTTGCTTTTAGAATTATTAATTTTAATATCCTCTTAAACCTATATCCTAACTATAATAGCGTAAAATTGGCGAATAATTTCACATCTTTGTTAATACGAGTACTTTTATAATTTTTCTATTTATCAATCAGCATATTAAATATTTTGTTTTGAAATTCTGATTTGCTTTTTATAAATCCCACCATAAATATATTCATAAAAACTAATTTTTAATTGAAAATAGTAACATATTTTAATCCAGTTGCAATGGGACGTTGTCAATCAACACCTGGTTTAGTTGAAAGTGAAGGCCGTACAACCCTTGAAGATATGTGGTTACCACCACCATCATCAGCACCTCCAATAGCTTATAATCAAACATTAAATTACAGGTAAATATGAAATTAAAAATAATTTATAAAATCATATTGATGGAAAATTTCTGCAATTCTTTTATTATTTTATAAAGTCGAGCACCTAGTCCTAGATCACAGCACACTATAATTACTGAACGTCCACCAAGGACATCTGAATCGCCAGGCTCTATGAGTCCAAGTGTACATAGTTCACAAGATGAACGACCAAGAAGTCGTGCAACATCACATCAATCAAGGCCACAATCTCAACCATGTCGAGGTACGTAGTATATATTGTTTACGCTAATACAAATATCATTTTAAAAGCTAAAATTAGAAATTAAAATTTAAAATAAAAAAAAATTTAAAGTTTAATTTGATTTTAAGTATTAACAACTGAAGTTTTCTTTTTTTATTGAAAAAGTAACGAAAAACAAAGAAAAAGTTTCCATTTGAAGTAAAATGCAGCTACAGTGGCTCAAAGCTCATTCTTCGGGAGACCCTGTCTTTCAATTTTTGCACTATATTGATTATCATTATCAACTTGCACCTTGTTCCCTGGATTTTCTTCTGAAGGATTAAGTACGCTTCCATCTTCTTTGGTAACAGTTTCAACTGTTAATTTTTCATCTTTGTTAAGAATATTTGATTTACTATTAGGATCGACTGCACTGTGATTTTCTTCAATTATTTTATTCTTAGGAACTCCATGTCTTTCAGGTTTTTCACTAAATTCATCATCATTTACTAATTGTGCTGCATCCTCTACATTTTCTTCTTTTGTAATTTCATCGGTTGTATTTTTATCTTCAGTCGGATTATCTGATTCAGTATTAGATTCATTATTGTTTTCATTATTATCATCTGTTTTATAATAATCTTGCTCTTCATTATAATCGATTTGATATCCGGTATCATAAACATATTTATCAAACAGATTACTCCACAAATGATCTGGATAACTCCAATATTCTTCCATTCTAGTTAAATTTTCTAACGTAGCAAAATCTTCACAATTTTCGATATTATGTTGGAAATCTCCCTTAGCTAATGCAGAATCATTTCCATTAAATTTGCATACGAAAAATGTATAATCATTTTCGCTACCCGTAATCACAAGTATGTTTAGAGTCAAAAGAAACTTTAAATATAAAATATCAAATATTTTAAATATAATTGAAATGTTAAACTAAAACTCACAGTATTGTAAAATAATAAAAATTTTAAATTGATCATTTTAATTTGAAATATTTATTAAAAAAATAAACTAATAAAATAAACCTAATAATATTGAAATCAAAAACCAAACTGACAATCACATATTTCCTATTTGTTTAAAATAGCAAATACTTAAATTTAGTCGGAGTTATAAAGTTTTAATACGATAGTTGCTTAACTAATAAGCCAGCTGATTAAACTACAGCGAACTTTTGTTATTGTTTATTTTCATTATTATTCTAATGTAGCTCACCAAAATTTTGTTTAAAAATGAGAAATTTGGCAATTATATGAAAAGTTTTTGAATTGATCTTTGCAGAAAATTAAAAGTCAATAATATTTATACTCAATTCCTTCTGCTCTTTAAACAGTTTTGTACTCTCATTAAATCCGCATATATTATTAAATTATATGATACGAAGAAGAGTATTCGGAAAATTATTAAGAAAGCAAATCTCTTTTCAAATATTTTTGGCATATTATACAAAAAATTTTTGAAAGAAACATGCTTAATAGTTTAAGTCTGGTTGTCCTTATCTGGTTGTTTACAAAATTTCCTACACCGTTCAAAGTATCTTATGACAAATAAACCTTAGTGAGGGCATTATTTTTATATTTTTATGACAATATGTTCGACACCTTCCCTTCACTTTTAATTATATAGCTCTTAAAAATTTTTAAAATGAAAATTTCTGATAAACTGCTTTGTTCAAACTAAAAACAATATGTAAACTTTCGCAGTTCGAAAAATTTTTTTGTTAGTCTCAATCTGTTTACCAAAATTTCAATCAATTAAATAAAATATAAAAATAATAATAAATTCTATTTAAAATTCCAACAATTTAAAAAAAAAATTTTATTAAATTTATTTTAGGTCAAATTTGTGGTTCAATATCACATATTGAATCATGTGGTGGAGGTGCAACACCATTACTTGGCTCCCATGAAGCTTTAGAAGATGAAATAAAACGTTTACGTGAACGCCTCCATACAGTTGAATCTGAAAATCAAGCATTAAATACAAAATTATCACAACAACAATGGGAATTAGAAAATCGTTTAGCTGAAATTGAAATGCAAATATGTGGTGCATCATCAGCATCATCAATTGATCCAGAAAATGATACAGAAGAATTGGAAAGAAATCGTGAAAGTATCATATAACACGGAAAAGAGCTGCCCTTTATATATTATTATAAAACGTTTGACATATTAAATAATAAAATTAACAACAATAATGATAATGACAATTCATATTGGTTCAATAACAGTAACAGCAGCAATAATAAATTTTTTAATAAATATCATTATTATAAAAATAATAATAATAAAAAAAATAATAATAATCAATTATTATATATAACTTGTATTTCATGACAAATAGTCAAACGAATGTCAAAATTTATTCTTACAATGTGAATTTATTGAAAATGGAAAGAAAAATTAAAGAAAACGGGACAAATAAAAATGCAAAATTAAAATTTAATAATTCGTTATTTGAATTACAAAAACAAATTTTTTAAATGAAACCAACTCAAATGTAAGTATGCCAAAATCCAACAATGGAACTACATTTTCATTACGACAGAAATTGTAAAAATAATTTTGACAAGAAAGTTATCGTATATTTTGGGCAGCTTTAAAAGAACTATAGAAACTAACGTTACATTTAATTTTTTTTTTTATGTTAAAAACCTAAAATTTAAAATGCAAAATAAAAATTTAATATCGAAGTACTAAAAAAAAGCCAACTACTATTAAAATTATCTACTAATACTATAACTACGTACTACCACTAATGTTATACTCGTATTCAACAAATTAAAATGATATAATATATAAGAATATTAAAAACAAAAATATTATGAAAATATTGTACATATATGTATGTTATATATATGTGAATATTCCTAAAATTTGTATATATATATATATGTATTGATATAAGTAAAAAAACATACACGAAATATAAAAATTTTAAAAATAAATATTTGTAAAGAAAACAAAAAATTATGAAAATCACATAAGAAAACATTCTCAAATTCACTCTCTATCTGTAATTCTCCTATAAGTATGCAAAATGTAAACTTATATACAAAATTATTTAGCACTCATTTCGGCAATATTTTTCTTTTGGTTACTAACTATAACCATATTTTTGTTTTTAGTACTAGTAAGAAAAAGTAGAAATGAGACAAACAAAATACAGACAAAAAAAAACGTTTCAAGAAAAAGCAAAATGGAAAAGAAACCATAACAAAAAAAAAGAAAGAAAAACAAAAAAATTATTATGAAAACTGAACGGAAAAAAAGAACCATTTAGAATTAAAACGACAAGAAACAAATAAAATTGAAATTATTTTGTTTCAACAAATAAAAAAAAAATGTAGTTAAAAAATTTTATTAAATTTAATTATCTAGTAAAATAAAACAAAATATTATTAGAATTACTTATAGAAAGAAAATTATGAATTTTTAAAAAAATTTCAGTAATGAAAAATAACAAAAAACAAAAAGGCGAATCCACATTCAATGCGGCCAAAAGAACTAATCTCTTTCGTATACAGTAAATTTAAAGGAAAAAAAAAGAATATAAAATAATTTTATAATCGCCCGCAAATTCAAGAACACATCTTCGTGTTAGGGAATATTAAAATTCTGAATTATTTTTAAAACAAATAGTACAATAGATCCTTACAATTTTCTACACAATTTTCTTGCGTGTATAACATACGCAAGCATTATTTCTTTTTGGCCAAGCATAAAATTTCATTATAAAAAATTTTCGAAATTCAAAAAAGTTTTGAATTTATTTTCAAAAAATTTAATATAATTGTTTTATTTTATCCAAAATTAATACCGAGTCTAACTAAAACTAGATTCTTAAATTTACAGTAGAAATTTCTAATTATTATTTTTATTTAAATTTTTCGAATTCATTTTATAGATTACTAAACAAATAAATAAGTAGAAATATTATACACCCCACACTTACACAAGTCACATCATAAATGGGAAAAAAAAAATTTGTAAATAACAATATTATATAAAATGTACATATACATACATACTAGGTTAATTTAGAACTCAAAAAAAAATTTTTTGCTTAAAGACTAATAACGAAAAACAAAACAAAACCAAAAATACACTCAACGAAAATCATCAGCATTTTGTTCAAAAATCATCACAAATGCTAATTTTTTGCTATTTCTCATTAGTCTAACTTGAAAATTTGTGCTTTTAGAATTTGATTTTTTTTACAAAACAAAATTTTTCATCTGAAAAACTGAATGCATGTTCGGATGTTTGTAGTTTTAAATAAAACACAATGCTCATTTCTACTTTCATAGGGATGACCTTGTTTTGCTTCTGTAAGTCAATTTTTTATTTGATCAAATAAAATTTAATTTAAGTATGAAAAATTTTTCGAAAAAGAAAATGTTTTTTCTTAGTGTAGTCTTGTTCTCAATTTAATTTCCTGTCAAAGAGTAATAAATTTTTAAAATAAATACCAAATTTTGTTTTTCAATAATTAGGATAAAAGCCAGTTGCAACCAAAACAGCGTTTTCAATAACAGACGTTTATTTGATTATGTAAGAGACCTGATCAAGTTTTTTTATTCTAAAAATGAATTTACTCTAAATATACTCCATAAAACTGATTTTACCGCATCCTTGACACTCAATATACAGAGGAGTTTTACGCATTGAGCAAGCCTGCTTTCTTTTCTTACCTTTCTGCTTTATTTCAGAAAAATTTTTCAAAAATTTTCTTTAAAATATACAAAGTTGTTTGATTCACAAAAAATTCCGAAAAGTTTACAACTGGGTATAAATCACCCGTTAGAAATGTTAGACAATTATCGAATCATATTTCCCATTCATATAAATAATACAATGACATGCAAATACACTTGTACATTAAACAATTTTATAATTAATATTAATACACACAAATACACACATTTAAAAATTTCTAGAAAAAAATTCTCACAATCTCTAAAATATTCTTAGTAAAACATGAGTACTAAATTTACTATATATTCAAAAGAAAATCATATTTAGCTCTTTAAAATGAAATTTTTAGTGTACATTAAAAATCATCTAAAAATTCACAAAGACAAAAAAAATATTATATATATATGTATGTAATATATACATATAAATATATTTCTAGTTATATAATTAATTAATAAAAAAAAAACAATAAAAAATTAGTTGATATTAAATATAAAACTTTAAAAAATAAAAAAATGTAAAAATTAATAAATATTAAAAAACAAAACTTGAACTGCCAAACAAATTATGTAAAATCATTACTTTCACACAAATTAATAAAAAAAAATTAATTAAAAATAAATAAGAAGAAAAAAATCAATTGTAAATATTTAATATTAATATAGAAATTATAAAATTTTGTTTAAATAAATAAAAAGCAAAAAAAAAAACGAATTAATTAAGAAATTAAAAAATCACTTTCAATACATAGAGAAATTATAAAATAAATTACAAAAATTTAAAAGTAAAAAAATTTGGAATAAAATCCAACAAATTGAAATTTTGGACAACAATATACATAGATAGCACTGTGTTGAATGATAGATGGCACTTGATTTAATCTACTCTCTTATTTTTAAAATTTTTTCATCGTTTAATTTTAGGATAAACAAATTTTTACTGTCAAAATATCCCAAAACACAATTCCGAAATTTAGTTGGAACAATTAAGTAATCTACATTGAAATCGCAAGTTCTTCATATTCGAAATTTTGAGTTAAACTTTTAATGACAATAATCGACAATAAAAGTACGTATTAAACAATATTCACATATTCACTGGCATTTGCAGTGTACAATTTTCTCAAAAACCAAAATTGTAAGAGCATTCCATGTGTTCTGTCATATATTTTTTCATATGAAAACAATAAATTGAGAATTTCCAGAGCAAACGACAATATGACTAATATTTTCAATGCAGAAAAACTAGCATATTCCCAACAATTATTCTTCCAATTAGAAATATTGTGGTAAAAACTTAAAATTTATAATTTTACTGTAATTATGTTAATTTAATATGAATTGCATTTGTAGCTAACATATATAAATGTCATAAATAACATTAAACACATTCAGTTACTAACCATTCGATTGGATTTTATAGTAGACTACAAGTGACATCTTAAATAAAATTTGTGCATTCAATAGAAATTCTAATAATTGAAAAAGAAAACAGAATCAGAAACAGTATAGAATATTTAAATTTTACAATGATTAAAGAAAAAAGGTTGTATGTATAGATGGGTCGTATATGTATGTAAATATCAGAAAATTCGTTTAGATATCGATAAAGAAAAACAAAATAAATAAATATGAAAAATCTTTATGTAAATAGAATCACAAATAATTCTTTGGTCATTAATGACTAACTATTAAAAATTATTTTTTCTATTTATTTTTTTTTAAAATATTATTAAATTTAATAATGTTATTATTTTAAAATTCACTTCAAAATTAATAAATTTAAATTTAAAATTGCTGGACTTGAATTATCAAAAATTTTAATCGCAAATTACAAAACAGACCCTGTTACAAAAAAACTTCAATTTTCAAGTTTCTTGACAGCCTGGCTAGTCAAGACGTTGACAGCCCAACAAGCTAGTTTTCGTTAATTTTAAATTAAATTTTTGTTTAATTTATTCGAGTTACAGAATTGCCATTCTTGAAAAACTTTATGACCCCAATTTTTGATAAAAAACAAAAAAATGGACCAAATTTGAATAAAATGGGGAAAATTGGAAAATCCTTATATATGAAATCCAAAAAAACATAGTCTAATACGATCATGGTCTATACGATCATGGTGGTAGAAAATTTCATTAAAACGAAATGAGATTTGTTCAGCCAATTTAATCGAAGTTGCCAGACGAAATGAAATTTGTTTAGACAATTTAATGAGAAATTGGCAACACTGTAGCTAAATAAAAAATAAAATCGCATTTTTTTTTTTCATTTTTTTAACTTTCATTTATTAATATTTTTATTTAATTTTAAATTTTTATTAAAGATACAAAAGACATAAAAAATCCGAACTTAAATAATTGTGTTCCATAAAAAAAAAAAACATAAAAAATTTTTTTTAATAAAAATAAACAAAAAAATATGAGAAAAATCTAGAAAATGAAAATATTCTTTTAAAAAACAAAATGGCTTTAAAAAAAAAATTGTAATAGTAATTTTAATTATTTTTAATTTCATAAAAGAAAAATATTTTAAAAATATTTCAAATCAAAGAATATGACGTGTAAAATATTTTGAAATTCAGAAAGGAAAGCTGCAAAAAGAAATTATAATTAAAATAAAAAATTATATTTGAAAAACAAAGAAAACAACAAAATTCACTTAAAAAATAAAATTAAATAAAATGTAAAAAAAAAAAAACAAAATTGATAAAAAAATAAAAATTATAGTAATAAAAAATAATAAAAAATAAAACATTTATATTTTTTATGTTAAAGTTTTCAAATTTTAAATAATTCATTCTTAAATGTTATTAAATTGTAAGACATTATTATTAAATTATTATTATTATTAATTAATTAATTAATTATCATTATAATTATTATTATTAAAACAAATTGAAAAATTAAATTAAATTTAATTAATACAAAAACAAAAGAAACATTCAAATTTTATTATCATTATTAATTATTAAAAGAAAGAAAAAAAAAACCAAAAAAAAAAAAACGAAAAAAAGTAAACCAAATACAAAATTAAATTATTGACAGTTAAAATTACTTATAGTTGTAATCACAAACACACTTGCTTTTCCAAACCAATTAAATACAATAATAAATTCTATTTACAGTTCTCATTACAAAATTACTATTTTTCTTAAAAATAATGAAATTGGTTTCAGTTCTTCGATTCGAAATTTAATATTTCCAAAATCTTATTTACAAAATCGGCTAGATTCTTCTACCGCATCACAGCATAGTCGAACTTTAGAAAAACAAAATGGCCGTTTAAATTAAACATTATATAAAACTAGTTTTTTTTTTTATTTTTGATAACATTTTTCTCTTAGACAGCTTTAGGAGCCTGAAAGTGTAACAACTTTTACATATTAATAAACAGCTTACTTCGTAAGAAGAAAATTCCCCCATCAGCCTCTTTTGTCATTAAAAATGCCTTGCAATTAACCCCTTGCCTTACGATTAAATCTCGAAAAATAGTACGCGTGCAGCCAGATAAATTTAGAGTAATTCTATAAGCTGAATTATCATAAACTAAAACTTAAGTATTTTTGTTTTTATTTAATCTTAAACCGTTATCTATATTATGGACAATTTAGCTAGAATAAAGAAAAAAAAAAACATGTACAACAATAAAAATATTTTTATTTTTACAAGTTTAAAGAAATTCATATGATTTTAAATATCAAAATATACTGCAGGCGACGCCGGCCGTCAAATTCGAATTTAGTATATAAAATTTTAACGAGCAAGGCCCGTCATTTCCACTCAAGGGGTTAAAAAATATAATTATTTTTCTGAACCGACGCAATTAACCCTTAAATTTTAGCATTGTGTTAACGCTACTTTAAATTTTTTTTTTCATCCTAAATGTATGCAATTTTTTTTTAAATATTTCGGTATATGAATGGGAGTAATTTAAATAATGTAATTGATTGTTTTGAAAAGCAGGGTTTTCGCTCGTTGAAATGAAAAGTGCTACATTATGTTACAAATATTATAACTTCACTGTTAATATTCAATTATTTTATTTGCGACTTCGTTTATGCAATGTAAACTTATCATTTATTTTTCTGTAGTTTTTCAAACGAACTACAAACTCTTCATTCTTTAAAAGGCAACGTTTCACATATAGTTTTAATAATTATTATGACTAACACCGTCATTATTAGCTTCTTGAAATAAAAACCTTTAAATAATCTTCCTATAATTTCAAAAATTTTAAATCTGTCACAAATTAATATGCAACTTTGTATCTCTAGATCTCTGGCTGGATATTTTTTAATCGATTTTTTTTTTTTCAAATTAACTGTCAATATTTTATAAATCTATGATTAAATATTAAAAAAAAAAAAAAGAAAATTTAAAATTAACTTTATTATAAAACTTACTAATTTTTATTCCATTTCAAAAGAAAAACAACAAGTTATACACATTAAATAAAACTTTCAAGAGAAGAAAAATACGATCGAATACAAATCATGAATGAACTTTAACAACGTATAAATTTACAAAGTGTATGTCATAGTTATGATTAAAATATTTATAATTATACTGAAGATCAGTATTGTGTATTCATATATACCATATACATAATTACTATATATTTATATAAATCAAATAAATTCTATTTAAAACGATTACAAGTAGTAGATATTTTAGTTTTTAACTAACAAATCATAATGATTTCTTTAAAAAAATCATAATTTAAAAAATATTTAGGTAATCATCTTAGCTCATATTTGTAAATAACATACACACACCATCTTCATATATATATATTCAAAGATCATATCTTACATAAACTGATCGAAATCTACTCTATCTATACTATTCATTAATCGCCGAATAAATTTATAATCGATATACTTTGAATCCTGATTATGACATATATTTATCGAAATTTTATGCATCACAGTTAAGTAAATTAAGAAAACAAAACAAAAAAAAAGAAAAACACAAATATTTAGAAATCCATTTTAATTAATTTGTAAAAAAGAAAAAAAAGGCCAAAATATATAAAAAATTAAAAAAAGAATAAAAGTTTCTTAAATAAAAATAATAATAAAAAAAAAAAACAAAAAGAAAATTTGCTTTAAAAAACTCAATCTTAGAAATAAAATGAGAAGAAAAACATAAATGAAAACAAACCAGACAAAAGAAAACAAAATAAATATGAAATATTACAAGGATTAAATACAAAGAAAATATAAAAAGAGAAATCAAATTATAAAGTAAAAACTAAACACACACACACATATATAAAAAAATTTTTCACATAGAAACAAAAATAAAAAAAAACACAAAAGACAAACAAATAAACCAGCAAAAAAAGGATCGAATCATTGTAATTTCTATGAAATATTGAGAAAAAAAAATAATTAGAAAAAGAAAAAGAAAATAAATAAAAAATAAAAATAAAACTGAATATTCAAGTGAAAAAATGGAAAATAAAATAAAAAAAAATTAATAATTCGCAGTTTGTTTTTCTTAAGTCCCTCTTTTCTCCTTTAAAATTTCACAAAACAATATTAATGGAACGGGTGTACTGTGAACTGGGGTCCGATTTTGTCTTCTCACTCAAAATTGGGAAATTTTGTTTTCTCTTTTTATTATTTTCTAGTAAAGAAAATAACAATATGCAATTACGGTATAACGATTAGGTTATCGTTACTTTTGAATAACAATTAATCGTTACTTTTATGTATAACAATTATTCATAAAATATTTGTAAAGATACAGTGTTCTAAAAAGTATTTTAATACATTGTATGAAGTCATTAATTTTTTTAATTTTTCATAATAGTATTTTGCTAATATTCACTTCGTAACTAGTAATTTTACTCAAGTTGCACGGAGTAGAGTTAATAAAGTAAAATTTTGTTCTAGTAAAGTAAAACATTAATAAATTGATGTTGATTTGAAAGAGAAAAATTACTCCAATATTAAAAACGGGCAAGAAACCAATTAAATATAACGGTTAATTTGAAAAATGCACCCGATAGTCTGAAATTTGTCAATAGCCTGATATTTGATATAAGAAACAATTTCTGATCTATATGAATTTATGGAATTTATAAAATATTTTCAGTTTGGATGCACAATATCTAGTCAAAAACTAGGATTTTTATGACTTTGAAGAGTAACAACTAGAATGGAAAATTGAAAGCACATATAATTTTTGTTCTAGAGAAATAAAGACTAATATCTGTTAGCTTACAAAATATTAGCTTACAATATTTTATATATTTTTAACACTGTCGAAATTTTGTAAACAGAAGAACGAACAAGTGGCCAGAAGAACGAGCAGAGAGGTCCAAATGAATAAACAAAACAACAGTTCCTTTAATATTTGCAATTCACATTTTTCTCAATATATTATACTTAAAAAATGAGCAGTTTTCAAAAATAACAAAACATTCCAATTCTATTAAAAATTTTATTAAAAATTAGTATTGACTTGAATAACAAAAACATATTACACACAAATTACGTTTTCTCTTTACATACATACATATATTACATGCATATCTCTATGTTCTCTCCTATATTAAAACTAATCTAAATTTGTTTTTATATTAAAATAACATGAAATTATAAAACTGAAACCTCCCTCAATATTTTATCATTTTATAAAATTTTCTCTCTTCTCTGTTGTATCTCTTTTTATGGTAAAAGAAAAATATTTTATCGTTATACAAATAAACAAAACATGACGTCATGATAAGTGAATAATATAAAGGTAAGCAAGTAATCAAAAAAGAAAAAAATAAGGCAGAAGCGTGACTTTTATTTTCAATAAAGTTCCAAAATAAAAAATACCTGGAATTCCAGTAACCATAACCAGCTTTTCTTCTCTATCTTATTACTAAAATATTGCTTTTTTTTTATAGCAAAATCTCAACTTAATACAAAAAAAAAAGCACATTACAAAAATACCATAAAAGAGAAGAGAGTCGCCTAATTTTACCTTTACACTAACAAAAAAAAAACTGAATTAACAACAGCACAGCAGAATGACATCCGTTATTTAAAATTGATCTCATCTAAATATTTTAAAGCTACATGTACAGACTACAACAGCATTAAACTCAAATATTAAGCTCAATTTTAAATTCAGTTATTATTAAGCAGCCGTAGTGCGAAGACGTGTGTTAAAGAAAAATATTAAACTACGAAAGAGAAGTGTAAATAAGGTAAAAGAAAAAAGTGTGCAATAAAATTAAAAAAAAATTAACTGTGGTTTGTTTGAAAAACATAAAGAAATAAAAAAAAAATTTACGCTTCAGAAATTTCAGCAATAATAACAAAAAAAAATTTTAAAGAAAATTATTTAAACAAAATTTTTAAAATAAAAATTTTAAAAAATTTACAAAAAAAAAAATTAAATATTAAAAATTTTTTATAATATTTGTGAATTTCATTATTATTTTAAGAATAAAAGTTACCAAATTTTTAAAGAAATAATGATAAAAAAAAACTTAATTAATTAAAAAGCTTTACTCTGTTTTTTTATTTAAATATTTATTGTGAAACAAAAATTTAAATAATGGATAAAATACATTAATTTTTTAAAAAAAAAAAAGCAAGCAGAAAAAAAAATTGTTATTTTTATGAGAAAAATTACGTAATGTTCTTTAGTACGTGCTAGTGATCTTCGCGGAATAAAATTCACGAAAAAAAAAAATAACAAAACAAGAAGAAAACCAAATTTTATTTTGTTTCGTTTTTTCGTCTTTCTTCTAAATGTTAGCCGCTGCGTTGCGGTAAGCCAAGCCATTTTTGTACTGATAAAACAAGAAAAAAGGGAAAACAACAGTAAAACAAAAAAAAATTTTTTAGCTGAAAAACATTTTTAGTAGTGTTAGCCATTGCAATTTGTTATTGTTGTGCCATACTCTCTTGATTTTTAACTGCTTAAAATTTTATGTATTTTGTTTTCTTTGTTCTTTAATATCTACACCTTAATATATAATAATATTATGTGGCTCTACATTTTCTGGATACTCAAAATCAATACATATACCTATTCTATATAAATAAACGTACATGTAAGTACATAAGTACTCATGAATAAAGGAAAGGTTGGAGGTTAGGGCAAATGTATGAAAATTTTTATCATACTATTCACGATTAAAATTAATTGAATATATTGAACTTATATTCTCGAATGTTTATTTTTTATATAATTAACAAGATAACTAACTAGCACAGAGAGATGAAAATGTTTTGTACTTAACAAAATTTGAAATTAATTATTTAGGCAATAAAATTAAAGTTATGAGTATAATCACCATGGTGTTGTGTGTGCAAATTATTAAAACCAGGATTACATACACATATGTAAGGATTTATGTTAATATAATTTGAAAAAACATCTATTACTGCTAGAGGAACTAGCTCTAATTTTTATTATCACTAATCTATTACTTAAATTGTTTTAAAAATATTATCAGCTTAAAATACCTATGTAATAGACCCTAGGTGAATTTCATGAAAGTATCTAAATGACTGCACTCATATTTTTCCGATTTTTGTTATAATGTTCCGATATTCATACTGTGTTTAGAACAAAACATTATTCAACATTCTCAACAATTCACTTTATTCACACATCCAGAACAACATCAACATTTCAACCAAATTGGGAACATGAAAAAAAAAATATTTCAAAAGTTGAGGTCTGAATTAGTTGAAATAAAAGTTTAGTTTTCCTTATCAAAAATAAATATGTATAGGCGAGAATCAAAATAAAAAAGGTCTCAATCTAAAATGATTGAGGGTTTTTTAAGGAAACGTAATACAGAATATAATCAATTAAAAGCACAAATCTCATTTCGATAAAAAAAAAACTTAAAATTTTTCCATAAAATAAACAAAGGTTGGTCTTTAGTTATTTTATGACAATAAAGACTTGAAATCTTAAAAGATTAAATTTTAAAGAGCACGTTATTTTTCTTGTCACAAAATTTTATAATTTTGAACATTGAAAACAAGCTGTTCTTATAGAACAAGTCCACTTTACTTACTGTACCTTAAATTTTTATCGTTTTTAACATTTTTTCATAAACATAACTACATTCCATTGTCAACCTTCAGGTGTGTGTAATAAATATTGAAACGTCAATATGTAAAACCTTGTTCTTCACAATATCTTTAAAATAGGAATTCGGATTGTGACCGTAAAATTAATGTACACAAACTTGTGTTACATAAAATGTTTTATACAAAAAAAATCTTTAGTGTCGACTCTGGAATTTTTGAAGGTATTTTCGTTCAGTTATTTTGTCGTCTGGTTTTGGATCTGTTTTCTTAACTTGTAATAATTCTGGTGTTCATATAGTTTTGTTATTTGTTTTATTTTTTTACTATTTTGCATATGATTTTTAATTTTGAAATTTTTTAAGTCGACTGTGCCAATTAAATTTCGGGCGGAGGCGCGCTAGTAAGATTTATAATATTTTTTTTTCTTTTCGATTTGTTTTTTTTTTGCTGTTTTTAAAATTTAATTTGTTTTTTTTTTTTGTTAAATTTGCCATTTTAATTTTTAAGTTTTGTCATTAATGAAATCGAAAAAAAACTTGGGCGTTGATAAAAGAATCGATTATTTTTTTTTTCTGCCTGATATAAAAGAATTAAGTGAGAAACCTGATATTCAATTGAAGTTTTTTTATTATTTGCTCCCTAAATTCTTTATGTTCTTAATACTTTTTATTTAATTTTAAAAGTTTTACAATTATTTTATAGTTCCTTACGATTTTGTGTGAAAATTAGTAGAAACTTTCATTATTAGTAAATGAGATTTAAAAAAAAAATCGATAATTTGAAGTTAAGAATGAAAACATTTTAATTGAAAACGCTCATTGCTGCTATTATTTTTATTAATTATTTTAACCCACTCGAGTAAATTCCATTAATAATTTGGATATAGCAATAGGTAGGTAATTTAAATTTGGCACAAAAATGACGTTGTTCAGTAGGCTTATTTTTTGGTGTGTGAAATTAAGTTTTTGTGAAAGAAGGCGCTAAAAAATGGTTAATTGCAAAAATTAGGAGCTAATTTTTTTTTCATTATTCTGAAAGAGATATTTTAAGATATTATTTTTGACTAAAAAATATTATTCATTTAGTTTTTCTCTTTTTCTTTGTTCTTTTTTTAAATCGATTATTTTTCAAAGGCAATTAGCAATAAGTTTTTATTTTTAATATTAATTTCATCCATTTATGGTGAAACATGTTTTACACTTGTAGTTTTCAATAGCTTATGTTGCCTTATAGGAAGTAATTTGATATTTAAAAAAAAAAATATTTTTTTTTTCGAAAGTTTAGTTTAGAATTTATTAGATTGATATTGGTAAAATTAAACACTAAAAAAATTTAATATAGCTATAGTTGAAATTTATTTCATTAGTTTGGTTATATCGCCACATGATTGCTCCAAATCTAACAAATTTGGTAAATAACCAGTTTATTACTCGTATATAATGTAGTTAATATGTTAATAAAATATTTTAAATTTCTATATATGAAGGAATGGTAATATTATGTATTTTGAGATTTATGCTAATGTTTATGTTGCTATGAAAAGCTAAAAGCTATGTGTTCTTCAAAATTTTGAAAGTTAATAGTTATATGATAAATCTAATTTGGTGAAATAAAATTTATTGATTAACTTATTTTTAGTTGATTAATTAGATAATCAGAATATTGGTAAATTACTTTTTACATAATTTATGTACAAACTTAGTTTCTATACTTTCGGTTTCAAAGTTTCTATACTTTCAGTTTTTAAATTCTTAAAGAAAAACGAATTTTCCAAATCAAAATTAATTAATTTTCCTATAATAAAAATTATCAGTATTTTTGATATTGCTAATAATTGCTAAGTATACACCTGTAAGTATTTTATAAGTCTAATTATAAGATATAAATTATAAGATCACTTTTGTTACCAACAATCATTGTAAATATGAGCTTAATATTTCTTCATAAATTTCATTTAAAATATGCCGGAATATGACTTAGAGTTCTAGTATATTGAATATTACATAAATTTCATCAAATTTTAGAAATTTTTATACAATGGGACATTTAAGTAAAATACAAAATTTCTTCTTTTAACATTCCTTGAAAATTTGTTCTATTATAAATAACTAACAATTTTATAAATCAGATTAAAATCACCTTTAACCATAATGTTATGACATTAAATACAATAAAAGATTTTTGGTTTTAAAATAAATAAATAAAAAGTTAAAAAAGCTTCAAAGAATTTTTTCAGCATCTGTTGCCATAAAACTTATTGAGAATTTAGTGTTAAAAATCGATTTTATTATTTTTTTTTTCATAACTTTCTTAACTGCTTTTATGAATCAATGCTATTTCCTATACTTAATTATTAAAACTCCTACACATATATCGAATATGAAGTATGAAAACAAGAATGCTAAATCGTTGCATAGAATTATGATAATTTTAATAGTGTGTAGGTGAAATTTAAAAATGAAAAATATTATTCCAATTCGATAATTCATTGTTTGCTGAATTGAAAGTTTCAAATTTTTTTTTTTTATTTCATTAATTTGATAGATTACTAGAAGTTAGGTGTTTGCATAGAAATGGTCACTAATAGACAATTGAGAATTTGATTTTTGAAAATGAACAATCTGCACGCTGATTTTGTGTAGAATTTTTTATAAATTAAAAAAAATTGATTGAATAGGGGTAAAGTTTTCGATTAATAGATTGATGTCAGTTCACTTAATCGATAACTATACCCACGAAAGTTCATTGCGATAAAATTATTAAACCGAAAGAGTGTAAAACCCAAATCAGATCACTCAAAAATTTCATAGAGGCACAAAAAACACTTGTCACTCGGATTTATACAAATTATGCTACGCAGTCGTCTTCTCCCCGTGATAAGATCTGGGACTTGTAACCAAACTCGGTTTTGTTTAATTGATAATTGAACCGCAGTTTTGCGTGAGAAGGGCATTGTCATACCTTTAAATTAAAGTTCAAGATCTAGTCATTCACCACATATTTCCCGCGAAGATAAACTCATCGGTGCGGTCCAAAGAGCCCATCTGCAGTACTCTGATAGTCCACCGGTATAGACTCCACTCCAATTAACATTGATTTATTTATTATATTTTATTTATTTGTTTAATATTCATCTCAAAAAATTTCGTTC